ATCTCGGTGTTCCCGCTGCTCGTTTGCTCCCTTCTGTTATAAAAAAATATATATATAACCTTGGAAGTTATTTCTTCTATTTTATACATAGATGTAATTAATTTTCGCATAAAGCTTATTGTGCTTTGTTCTTATTTCACATTCACAAACAATTTAAAGCTATGATTTATACGCAACAGTCCTAAACAAACCACTCGGCATTCAATCCATTTTTGGTGTCACCTTTAAAATTTATGTGATTCTATTAGCAAGATAATTTCATTATTTGTAAGAAATACATTTGTATGTTTATATAAATTGTTAGGTTAAATAATAATAAAATTATTTTAAACTTTATATAAACATTAAATATTATTCCACAAAAATTATTAACATAATGTCTTTAATCTTACTTAAGTGTTTCGATCATTTTAGAACTATCTTTTTAAATTCTAAGTCCTAGTCATGAATCACCCAGTCTAGAAAAGAAAACCAAATGAAAATCCATTAGGTCGTTTTGACATAGGTAAAATAATAATGTACATAGTAATAATTAACAAATTAAAGTCACTCCGAGTAGGAGCTCCATTTATTTCGTATTCAGGCAATGTAATCTGTTTGTGCGGCGAATTGCAACTGAGGCAAGTCGGGTACATTAATAAACTTGTTCAAAACTACGACTGCATTCGTCGCCACATACGTCCTAAAGCATTAACTTGTTTTTGATTCGAAATATAAGTACATTCCACGTTTTCAAAATGAAAATTTTCTACCTTAATAAATGATAGTTATATTATGCTTTGAGCGAGAACCACGCAGCCTAGTTCTAGAGATACCTTCTTACAAACATCCATCCATCCATCTAAACATTCGCATTATAATATTAGGAAGATACATTCATCATCATCATCATAATCAGCTGACTATAAGTCCCCATCGAGGGGCTCAGAGCCTACCCTAAGTTAAGGGTGATTGGCCATAGTCAAGAAGATGCATTCATAGAATAAAAATTATTGCTTTCACTTGAGTTAGTGAACTAAACTTAATCTGATCACTTATATGTACGCATGGGATCATCACGACTCAGGCTTAGTCTAGTGTGATGGTTATAGGAATAGGAAATAGCAATTAACATTTAACCGTTTGTCCGTTTTTATGTATCCCTTACATCGGCTGTATTATATTTTTCATTGCAAGTGAAAATGCTTTGTTTTTTAATAAATAAATTTAAATTTCAAATTAGAAAACGTAAATGTTATATGCATTTATATTTTGACTAGTATAGATAAAATGAATTACCCAAAAAGGCATTTGACCGAGAATAATGAGTATCTTCATGTAAAACAATGATACTCCTATCGTCTTAATTTTGTTACAGGTGAGGGTAATATCTTTTAATAAATTTACATCACCCAATTACCTATTACGAGTTCAGACGACGTAGCCCGGCAGCAATCTCCCAAGTAGGTAATTTGGTTTGTTCGTACGTCTAGGATGCCCTTTGGCGGTCTGTGGCGGTGATTAGTTTCAAGGCTCGTTTGCGGACACGTCGTCGTCGCTTTGATTGCCCTCTTCAGGCCACGTCACTTTAACGTAACGATTACATAATTACTTTATGTCATTCGCAAACGTTCTCCACACTATAATTAATACATTAGTACGCTCACCACTATTTCATAATGGATGTACAGTCAGCTATATAAATATGTATAAATTTACTAAACTCTAGAAACTTGTATACGGCTTCGGTTTCAAAAATACGAATGCGCGTATTCGTTATTAGCACGTATTCATGGCCGGAAGTAAACGAACGAATACCGGTACATATTTTTGAAACCCAAGTTGTATATAAGTTTTTGAAGTTTTGTAAATGTATAAATATTTATGTAGCTAACTGTACATAATAATTGAATGTGCAATTAATAAGTTTTCCTTTAGTGCGTTGATTAAATACAAAATGAGACCTAAAGGAAAATTCCAATCGCCTAAACAGTAAAATCTCAACAATTTTGTTAGGGTAAAAAGTAAGGAATCCAGACCCCAAATAATAGGAAAATGAAAGCACATAGAAGAATTCAAAGATGGTAAAGAACGAAGATTAAACAAACTTGAGCTATGAACGATTATCCCGTTTAATTAAGGAAGGAAAATCCTCAAGATCTAGTTATCGACGTTCGGTCGAGTCTTTAATTCAATTGAAAAAGTTAACAACTAAATTGGCCTCGTAATAAACTTTCTTTTTATTTCTTTGATCGCTATTCCATTAGACACTAGCTGATGCCCGCGACTTGGTAAGCACGGAATTAAGAAAAAAAGTCTATCCTATATAAAATAAAAAATTGTAGGTAAGTGTAGGTGTTAGTGTAGCTTCCTAACAGTGAAAGAATGTTACAAATCGGTGCTGTAGTTTGGAAGACAATTGCAAACAATCAAATCTTTCCTTTTTATAACAACACTCGGGGATAGTGTATCTGCCCAACGGTGCAAAATTTTTTCAAATTGGTGCGGTAGTTTCGGAACCTATTCAATGCAAACAAAGAATCATATCTTTCCTGTTTATAATAGATACATTCTATGGACTGGCAGCTTTCAGTTTAAAAAAAGACATGGAATGATGCATGTGTTGTATACATTTTAATTTAAATAATCCCATAAATTATACAAAAATACGATCGTAGTTTACACGTAAGATTTACGATATACATTTTCACACCAACTTAGGAATTAACTTGAATAGTTAACACTTTAAATCCACAGAATCTAGTTAAAGAATAGAATTTTAAAACATTGAGCAATCGAGATCAGTGCAAGAAACGTATTACGGAACAGACCTTCGTCTAGTTGACGGACACTTGTGAAGACAAATGGTCATTTAAAAACTCTTGACGGGTTGGCTCGCGACAAAAATGAGGGAAGCGATTTACTCTTATATTGCCTTTGTCGTGTAAAGCGTTTTAAGTCTTTTTTATTGGATAGTGCTTTAGTTATAGCTTTAATAGGAAAGCTGAGATAAGAGTCTCAAGAAAAGACTACTCTTTGAAACTTATCTATGGGCGACATGGTGAAAATCTATATATCACAAATAATTTAAGATTATTGAACGCAATGACTACAATAACCTATAATACTTATGTTGATTTCTTTCCTCAATATTAAGTAATATCTATTCAAATGTCTAATGTCTCAGGAAAGTAATATCCTATCTATTCCCACGTAAAAGCAATAATGCTTTCTTTCGATAGGATTATAAGTCGTTCTTACAAATATATCGCTTCATATATTCGGTGAAGCAAGTAAAATGGTTTTATTTAAATTATTTTATGTATAATTAGAAGCACTTGGTCGCGAATGAGATCAGCACAGCGACTGTCATCCACTCTAGCACAACCGTCACTCTGAGAGCCCTTACATCGTTCCTCAATGCGTATATGCGAGGGTAAAAAAATAAATATATAAAACTGAGGGAAATAATTTTATCGTTCCATATATCATTGTAAGCCTTAGAACAAAATTTAATTTAGATTAACTTATTTAGATTTTACATTTTGTAGTGATTTTAATATGTAAAACTAACAAACCTAGTAGCTTTGTCGTTATGTAGATAAATATTGTCAAATCCTAAGGTTCATTAATTCATTTCAGTGGAAAATTGGTCGTCGTCGAAAAACCTGTAAACGACATTTTAAACGGGCTCTGAATCTTTAATAGAATTTTTAAATTGAAAGAAAATTTTCCAACAAGAAATAAATCGACCGTATCATCTTTTAACAAGTTTCAATGATTTTTTTATTCTAATAAAGAGAACAATTTTAATAACTCATACCTCACCGCGTCTGATCCAAATGTCACTTGCTTTTTTAACACGCATTACATGGCACTCAATTAAAAAAAAAACGCCTCTCAAGATTCGATCCAAGGTCACTGAAATATTGATTATATCACATTGGATTACCATTTTCTCGGAAGTCAGTGGTTTTTTCCACTCTATATTAAGCGCGACATAATCCTTACATCTTATTCCCGTTGGTAATCCCTTTGCAGCGACCGCCTGCACCCTAACATATCTCATCAAAATGTTAGGAGGCATTTTTAGTTATTGAATATTAGTTATTGAATATTGATAAAACTTTCACTTCGTGTTTGGGTTCTATACAGACTTACTATCCTCTGGGAGTTCGCGTAATGGCATAATTTATTATTGATCAAAACCGAACCAATATCTCATATATTCATTCCCTTTAGGGCATAGTTAATATGTTAACTTCGTCTAATTTCGTATCGAACTAAGAACAGAAATTTGTACTAATTGTTGGTTTTTGAGACCAAATTTTTTTTAAACGAAGTCTGGTTCAGAAACTCACGATAAATAGATTGTGATTATAGATTTCCTTTTGGTACTGGCTTTTTCCGAATTTCAATTCCTATACTAAAATCGTATAGAGTGATATTAAAATATTGCCCTTTTCCTGCCTTAAATTATATAGAGCCTATTCAATTACAGGATTCGTTATCCATGACAGTTATACATGTAGAGCCTTCCGGCGACGTAGGTCGAGACCCATTATATCGAAAGCTTTTAACTTGATTGTCGTTATTTTCATTATATAAAGTACTGTCAAGTATAAGGGATTTAATTTTTTTTATCAGAAATTCATTGGAACACTTTAATTAATTAAGATTGTTCCTTTAAATCATGTCTTAAATTTTAGTCTTGCCTATGTTTAGTTAGCTATGTTAGCGTATCTTAGCGTATATTAATATTCAGTAAGTGTACTTTTAGTTTTAAGTTAATTAAGTGATAAATACTATACCTGTCGCAATTCTTTTTGATACAATTTAGCCAAATTTTAGTATACTTTTCCTTCTTAGCGTTTTTATAAGGAAAGGGCAGGGGAAGTGTGTTTGACACAGGAGAGGACGCATAGGAAGGCGAAATGTTCGTTTGCTCGTTTGCAAACTAATAATATTACTACATTTATAAAGACTGAAAAAAATAATGGTATTCCTCCGATTTGTTTCAGAGCGTCGTGTCCTTCATCGCTGTTCCACACATGGGAGACCTTGCTACAAGAGGTAGAGGCTGACGTGGTGGGTTGTACCAACGCCGCGACATCTCTTGAGCGCATTGTCGCAACACCACTGATCGAAAGGACCTTCCACATGAAGGTGCAAGCAAGGAAACTGTTCGCGCATCGCGAGGGCTGCGAGGTTATACTAGGAAAAGCTGATGATCAACTCAACAAGGTGAGTTTAACAACTTGAGTTACATTAGTCGTTTGCGTAATGAATCGATATTATAACTAACTAGCTGTCGACCGCGACTCCGTCCGCGCGAAATGTAATAAAAACTATTGGTCCCAGCGTAATGTTATATAGCCTAAAGCCTTCCTGTATAAATGGACTATCCAACAAAGAATTTTTTTTTCAAATCTGACTAGTAGTTCCTGAGATTAGCGTATTTAAACAAACAAACTCATCCGTTTTATAATATTAGTATAGATGTTGTTTCATTCCTATGAATCATACTGTAAACATATTCAGTACGGCTGATTTAATAAAGATGTGCTTTTATAACTATTTGATTCGGTGTTATGGATTTTAATGTTTATAGTTTGGAAAAAATGTTTGATTTATTTTATATTAAATCCTATCGTAAATATCTTCCGTAATTTATCAGTGTTTTTATAAATATTCTAGAGGTTATAAATCTTACTTATTTTCCTTATCTAAATCAGTAACTGGCATCTTCGTTTTTATTATAACAATGTATACCAGCATTACATCGTGATTATTCTTTTGTAAAAAGGACATCTCAAGGGATGATCTTGGATATCAAACATTTACCTATGACAAAGTACAGAGATTAAAGAGAAGGAATAATCCTTAATATAGTAAATACAAAAAATGCACAGATAAACCAAGACTTTGTTATTTAATGATACAAATATTATAAACAGATTTTTGAATGTTTGGATGTATGTTCTTGATTAACTCATAAACATGATTAAGGAAATTTCTAAATGTTTTATATCGAGCGAATTAAAAAAAGTTTATTGTAAAACCCTACTGAATATATTATTAAGGACATTTTTAGATAAACAGAAAATGCTAGCACGATACTCAAACAAGATTTGATCATAATATTAAAACTCAAAATTTTAGCGGCAATGATACGTTGTGTACATCTGCTATTTTGTCCACAAGGCGCAGCTGTCGGGTTTCACCGCAAGATGTAAAATAAACATCATTTAAACCAAATTGCACGTAAAATATTTTTTATCGTAGATTAAAAATCGTCCTGCCTATGGGATTTTTAAATTAAAAAGCGTTTATTCATGTTTAAATGGTCTATGTCTCAACCCATAATATTTGATAGAATAAATTTAAAAGGGTTCTTCTAGAAGAACAATAAATTATTCTTTTCGGTGTTGTAACCTTAGTAAATAATTCTGAATTGACTACAACATTAATTTCTTCACGTAAACAATGAATTTAAAATAACGCTATAGAAATATTACTTTATTTATAGAATAAACTTATTTTAAAATTAACCGGAGGGTTCTTTTAAAAAGCATAAAATTCTCGGTCCTCTTTAATTTCAAGAATGCTTCCTACGCCCCTCCTGGTCGAATGACTTGTACTATTAATAGATGTTCTTAGAATTTGTTGTGTAGTTTTTTTTATTGTATTATCATCTTACTTTAATATTATAAACAGACCTGTATGAAATTTAGCATCGGAATAACTTACTGTCTTGAGCAGCATAGAGGCTATAATTTTTTTTTAATTTGACGTTTTTACAGTTAACCTTAAAAGGACGTTAGAGGTTTTTGATTTCTAGTATAATCATTTAATACGATTATAATTAATGAATTATAAATCGCCTTATTTGCAAGTAAAGTCAACTGTGGTCTTTTATTTGTTCATTCAGATGTAATCTGTGTATGTGTGTACGTAGATTTAAAAGTTAAGAAACGCAGCTACTAAATCAAAAATTATTGCGGCGGTCTATCGTGGGAACATGGTTATAACTTTTTTATTCTAACATATAAAAAACGGTGTAACTTTTTTTTTAATAAACCTAGTGGAAGTTTTTATTAAACTTTGAGAAAATTTACTTACCATGTTCAACTCGTTTTCAACTCATCTAAAATTATTCCGTGTACGCACGAATTTGATTAAATTAAATCCGTTGTAAGCTTTCTTTTTAATATATAATTAAATTGGAGTTTGAATCACAACTTAATGTAGCAGCAGCTTCATTGGGTTTTTTTTTAATATTAGCAGATTTTTTTTTTGTAAATTTACTAATATTTTACCATTCCAACTTATTTCTAGGCTTGTGCTAGGATATGGTTCACGACAATAGTCGAATGGCGGGATTCGAACCCCCGACCTCGTGATCGGAAATCCGTACCCTTAACCATTAGGCTATTGACGCTTGCTAAACAATTAACATTTTATTATTTTGCCAGATTTTTTTATTTGAAGATCTTACTCGGATTCTCACATAACTTGAACCATTTTTTTTCTACAATTAGGTAAATAAAATTGAATGAACTTACTACATATTTAATAGGTCTGAAAATCAGCTACTATCTATATTTAATCCCGCGGGGACGGAATCGCAGGCGATAGATAGTATAGAAATATTTAACGTAAACATTTACATGATAATCTCGAGGAAGTTTTTATTCTTTTTCTTTTGATATTTTATAAAATAAAGGTCGCGGATTTATAAGCGGTTTTACTGTTATGAGAAGGAAAGCTCTCGTTAAAATTATATTTCCTTTTTCAAGTAAATCTTTAGCTTATTCTAATCTCGAGATAAATAAAAAATAACACAAAACGAAAATCAGCTGAATATTTTTAATAAATACGATTGAAGTTGTTAGGAAAATCAGCATATTTTTCAAACATAAACAATTTTACTTTGCAGTTAATATTACTCTATTTAAAAGAGCGGAATAAAGGAATTAAAAATATCAAATTGTAAACTGAATTATCTTGATGATAATATACTAGCTATCGCCCGCGATTCCGCGTGGGGTTAAAAAATAATAGCCAATTCTCAATCCTACTGAAAATGCATATAAAATTTGATAAAATCGTAGTATGGTAACTGACATTGTGACACGAGAATTTTATATATAAGATTTAGTAATAACTAATTCAGATTTAACGGTAATGTTTAAATTTTCTCGTATTAAATTAGATAAATTCTCATACAGCGACTAATTGAGCTACGTTAAACCTCAAGCAATGTCCAAAGTTCCTGAACAAATAGGAACATTTTGCAACAGTAATTAATATAGATATAGGGTATTATGTCCACCTTCAATTTGAACAAAAGTTTTCTAGCAAACCTTGTAATTTACAGATAGGATTTTATTTGTGAATAACATTACCTTGTTACCTACCACATTTAATCATAATGATGTTATTTTTTGCCAATTATTTATTATTTTTATTACTTTTCTAACATGCAGGTTTTATTTATGTTAGTTACATTGTTGACAATTAACATTCGGTCGGAATACAACTCATACTCATCATGAGCTCACAATACGTCCCCACCGAGAGACTCGGAGCAAAAAAATAAAATAGAATAACTAGACTAATAGATTCTATTTGTCTCTGTATAATCCTGATTTATAAAGATGTCCGAATGAGTTTGTAATAAATAAAATTGATAGAAACAAAGCCCTTTCAATACACAATCCATTGTCTATAACACTCATATAGAAAATCCATTCATGTGCACTGACGAACGTACAAGTTTACTGACGGCTTTCGAACATCGTTCGCGATTTTAACATTCCTGGAAAAGCGAACAAAGGTTTTGAAAAAAATAAAACTTAAAACAGTAATAAAACAACGAATACAGTTTAGATTTATCAGAAAATGTTCTGTAGTACTAGAAACCATTTAATTTTATTCATCGACAGCGGGAAAAAAGCAATTTATGATTTATTACTAAAAAATAATGGAATAAAAAACCAGGATTAACACCCTTACGCTTACAATACAGAATCACAGTTTATTTGCGGGAATAAATATAGAAAAATGGATACTTTTTAGGGTATTTGTCCGTCTGTCTGTTAAGACCCTTTTTCTCGAAAACGCGTGATGATATCAAGCTGGAGTTTATTTTAAATAATAACGAACAAGAACCAGAATCGAGACAAATGAACAGATGGAGCTATAAAAACTATTTTATTGCCTTCAGACGATTTAAGAGACCGTCTGTTTCAAGATTAAGCTATAAACACATAACGCCTCTTTAATTAGTAAAAGTAAGACTAGATAAAATGCCAGTCCACACGAATATGTCAGAGAATTAAGTAATAGAGGTTTATGGATTTTAATAAGGAAAGGATGGGAAATTATTGGAGAAGGGGACGCTTAGGAAGGGGAAATATTCTCTGTATGTTTCCACCTTCATCGATTAAAGGTAAGCAACGGTCGCTATCTCATTTCGTCGAATTCAAATAGTCGCTTGTTCGTTAAATAAAAAATTTATGCCCAACAACAAACATTAGTGAAAGAGCACTTTATATTAAATAATAGCTGTCGCCCGCGATTCCGTCCGCTTAGAATGAAAAAAGACTTAATTAGTAGCCTATGTGTTCTTCCAGACTTTGCCAAATTTCAGCAAATCATACAGCTCCAAACAAACATCCATCCATACATATAAACATTAGCATTTATATTAGTAAGATTAGTTATATTGCTATCTTATCATAAACATCATAAATCTGAATTGGAAAAGTTTTTGATATTCTTCAATTGTTCTGGTAACTAAGAAAATTAATAATTCTTTCATGTTATATGATGTTTAGATAAGGGAATAGCGATTGAATACTTCACTAGAACAGTGTTTTATTTTACGAAAAATCTAGTTAAAAATATATCAAAATAATAAAACTGTAGAATTTTCAATTTACGAAAATTCAGTTACCGTTAATTGATTTCATAAAGTGAGTGGTGAACCGTAATTGAATTCCATATGGAAAGTATTTAATATTGACAAAACATCCAACTATTCCGATATTTTACGTACTATGAGTCAATTTAATTAAAATAAACATATTAATATATTCCGAAATTTTTTAAAAACTGTAAAACCGAAAGAGCTATAATAATTTTTCAAACTGACGAAATATATCATCAATTAATAAATTTAAAATGAAAACTTGAACTTAACGTAAGGTATTATTAACTTAACAAGTCGCTCTCAGCAA